GCGCGGGAGCCTCGGGAGCTGCGGGAGGAGGAAGCCGGCGCCGCCACGCCTGCAGTGGGAAGGCCGACCCAGGTGGGGAGCTGGCGGCTCTGGGTCTGACCCGATCCAGGTGACCCACTGTGTCGCAGAGCATGGCCCGGAGGCCGAATAGTCAGCACCTGCCAGCACCTTCTGGGACAAAGGGAGTCAAGACAAACACCGTTCACCATTGAGTGCGGCCGAAGAATGTTCTTCAGCTTGCATGTTGAGAAGAGAAGCAAGGACTCAGGGTCCATCTCTACCCCTTCCCTGCCCAGAAGAGGAAGGGAAAAGGAACATCTCACCTTCTCACGTTCTCAGGACTGGAGTTGCCAGGAAAACGTCTCCCCTGGACACACCCATGGTGCCTAGGAGCCGGGAGGTTAGGGAAGCATGCACGACCCAGCACCACCACCCACGCAACCCTGCAGCCAAGCCTGAAACTGCAGTGTGCGGGCGCAGGTCATGGGGCCACCCGCTCAGGCTGAGTGCTGGGCGCTCACTGGCCCCCCATGGGGGGAAGGCATCCACCTTGACGGGGACCTGGGGGATGGAGGGGGAGGGTGAGGAAACCAGGCCCAGGAGAGAGCGGCCCCGTCATCCGCCATCCTGGGGCCAGAGGGCCCTGGGTCTAAAGCCCGTGTCTGGGCCTCTGGTGGAGAGGAGAAGAGAGAGGCTAACTGCACACAGCTCCTGGAAATAAAAAGCTCTGCTTTGGCAAAAAGAGGAAGGTGGTGAAGAAAAGGGGAAGGGAGGGGAGGAAGAGGCTCTGGAGATCCAGTGGGGGCATTTCTGAAGGCCGGGAAGCTGGAGTCCAGCACAGAGGGATGGGCGATGTCCACTTACATAGGGCAACTTCCTCTCTGAAGAGGGAGCACCAGCCAGAGGCTCTTCCAGAGCTCAGGGCTAAACTGGGAAGGCACAGGCTTCACGGGCTCCTGAGCTTGCAGGTAATGCCCATCCTGGAGAGCCATGAATAAGCTCGTCCAGAGTCTGCTAGACATGCTTTACTCCTCAGACATCTGAGACCCGTAGCAGATGGCCGTCCCAGCTACCGCCCTGTGAGTCCCCTCCCCCAGCCCCCCCCACAGGGCCTCCCAGGACTTGCAGATTACAGGGCATGGCGGCATGGTGGTGGCTCCACAGAAGCCCAGAGGCCCTTGTGGGCCGCCGCAGAGAAAGTCCCTGCCCTACGGTCCCCAAGTGCGGCTGCTAAGGGTGCAATGAAGCCACACAGCTTTCCACCAGCCTCAGCTCACTCTTCCTGCTGGCGCTGACGGAGCACTTGCTGCAAGTGGTACCCAGAGCCAGGCCAGGGATGGAAAGGTGCAGATAAGGCTGCGTGAGGATCCCTGACTGCTGGCTGAAAACAGCTCCCGCGTGCTGTCCCATGGCTTCCTGGGTCAGAAATCCCTGCTCCGGTCTCACAAACCTGAAACCGCAGTGTCCACCAGGCTGCATCCGTTTCCGGAGCTTGGAGTTGTTGACAGAGCTTGGTCTCCCAATCCTAGGGTGGAAGCCCCCACGGTCTTGCTGAGTGGTGGGGGGACGTTTTATCCATGTTGTGGGATAGAGTCATAGCTCATTCCTTTTCGATGCTATCGAACACTCTGTTGTATGACTGTTACTGATCTGCAGTTTATTTGTCCATCCTAGTTTTGATGGACATTTGATGGACATTTGGGTGATTCTCAATTTGGTGATTGTATTGGTTACCTATTTCCGTATAACAAATCACCCCCAAAACTTAGTGGCTTAAAATAGCCAGGACTCTGGGCCTGGCTGCCTGGGTCCTTCGGCCCCGGCGCCTCCCACAGCTGCTGTCCAGACGCTGACCGAGGCCGGGATCATGTCAGCGTTCGCCTGGACTGAATTCACGTCCACGTTCCCTGGGGGGTTGTTGGCAAGACTCACTTCCCATAGGCTGTTGGACTAAGGCTTCAGATCGTTTCTGGCAGTTGGCAAGCGGTCCCCCCTGCACCCCCTGCCCTGGGGACGCGGACGCGGGGCAGCACTGCAGCTGGCTTCCTAGGAGGGCCAGTGAGAGGGCCAGGAGAAGGTGTGAACAGGTGGAAATCACGTTATTTTGTGAGTTAATCTCAGGAGTGTCACCTGTGCCACATTCTGTTGGTGAGAAGCACATTGGTGGTCCAACCCACACCCAGAGGAGGGGTTGCAAGGAGGAGAGAATGCCGGGCAGTGAGAATCACTGGGCGCTATTGTAGAAATTGTCTACCATAGTGCCCGTGTGTCCTGCAGTGTGTGCGAGCTCCCAGCCATACCCTGGCAGGCATGGAATTTCTGGGTGTCAGGGGACGTGGATCTTCAGCTGTCCCAGAGAATGAGTGCCCGCTTCCCCAAGCGCCCACGCCAACTCACATTCCCACTGGCAACACGTGCGAGTTTCTGTTGCTTCATACCATCACCAACGCTTGTTATCACCAGATTTCTTACTTTGGGTCAACATGATTATGTGAAATATGGGATCTATGAGGGTTTGATTTGCGTTTCTCAGATCACGGATGAGGTCTGGCACTTTTCATTTATTCAGTGGTTACCGGGATTTGCTCGCTTGCGGAGGGAGTATCTGCCTATATCTTTCGTCCGCTTTCCTATTCTTTTCTTACTGATCTGTGTGCCTTCTTCATATAATCTGGATTCTTGCTCCTTGGAGGTCATCAGAATTACAGACATCTTCCCAGTTTTCTTTCCTGCCTTTTCACTCTTTAAATGATATCTTTGGATGAACAGGGGTCTTATTTTAACATAATTACATTTAACAGTCTTTTCTTTTGCAAACTCTTACTCCCTTTCCTTGGCCTTGACTTTGCCTGTCTTCTAGATGCAGTTTTTCACCAATGTCTCCAGCTGTCACTGCTGTCCTGATGCCTCCCGGCCTGTCTCCACGTAGGACTCCAGCTGTCTGCTGGATGGTGCCACCGGCCCATCCCACAGACAGCCCCACACCAGTGCACCCCATACTAAGCTCAACCCACCCTTCCGAGTCCACCTTCTGCCATGCTCCCACCCGCCCTGTGTTTCCTGATTCCATGGCTGGCATGCCCCCCATCAGAGAGTCAGGGGGATGTCCTTGGCGGGGACCACACCTGAGCCCTGCCCCCATCTGTCTTCTCTCTGTCTCCGGAGCCAGAAGGGAAGTTCTGTGACATGGGGACCTTGTCCAGCTTGTTTATCATCGTGATATCAGTTCAGGACAGTGATGAAGTGTTCTGGAGCCCAGGGACCCACGTTCAGATCCTCACTGACCAGCTGTGGGAGCACCTGGAAGTAACATAACCTCTTTCTCTTCAGTTTGCTCATTTGTGAAATGGGGATGGCAGTCGTCCTGATCTGTAGGGTTTCGGTGAGGATTAAATCCATTAATGCACTTATAGAATGGAGCAGAGCACATGGTAAGCACTCAGCTATGGATATTACATCCTACCCACCCTGCATGGTGCTTGGCTCATAAAAGCATAAAGACACTGGCTAACATGAATAAGCAGCACATCCCAGGAGGATGTGAGGAAGGGAGGGACGCAGTGTTAGGACACCCAGGGACTCCCAGAGCCCTCTCCTCGGTGCTGCTCCTGGCTCCAAGGGACACAGCCCCTGCTCCGTGGTCCTGTCTTTGGACAGATGAGGTCACTGGGGCAGTGACAACTCCCATGTGAATGGCCAGAACCTCTAGGTCTTCTCACATGTGGCCCTCGAGTGAAAGCTCCCTTTCTCTTTCTTTGTGGCCCAGGAGGAGCTGGTGATCAAAGTCTTTGCTGCTCAGAGCCGAGGACTGTCACTTGATTTGTCCATTAAAATCCAGAGTAGCAGGGATGCCTGGGGGGCTCAGATGGCTAAGCATCTACCTTCTGCTCAGGTCATGATCTCAGAGTCCTGGGATGGAGCCCCGCCCGCCCCTTGCTGCTTTGAGTCTCTCAAGAGCTTGGAAATCTGGCTGGAGGTTTGGCCAAGGGGAGGGAGCACTGTGCGGGGAGTCCAGCGAGCTCCTCCTCGCCAGCTCGGCTGTGCCTTTGGACGGTTACCCAGGTCTCCTTTGCACCATGGCAGGAGGGTCGGCTGTGCTGGCCTGGATGAGCCCAAGGACAGTCCTGGGGCAGCCCCTTCCCGACGGCTCGAGGGAGCGTAAAGCTCCCAGCACCCATGCGTCCCAGCCTCCCGCCCCCCAAGCCCCCAGGTACCCTACATTCTTTTTTTTTAATCAGTTTTTTAAAAGATTTTATTTATTTATTTGAGAGAGAGAGAATGAGAGACAGAGAGCATGAGAGGGAGGAGGGTCAGAGGGAGAAGCAGACTCCCTGCCGAGCAGGGAGCCCGATGCGGGACTCGATCCTGGAACTCCAGGATCATGACCTGAGCCGAAGGCAGTCGCTTAACCAACTGAGCCACCCAGGTGCCCCGGTACCCTACATTCTTCCTCGTCCCCGCAGCCGCAGAGCCTCTGGGGCGCATTCGAGGGGCCCTGGGGTTGGAGCAGGAGATCCCTCCATCCGTCAATGAACTTAAAGAGGTGACCCGAGCCGCGGGGCGGGGCTGGAAGATGGGCGGGGCCTGCCCAGAGGGACAAGTGGGTGGGGCCTGGACGATAGGAGGGGGTGGGGATGAGGCAGGCAGGTGGGCGGAGCCGGAGCGGCCGGGGTGGACAGGTGGGCGGGGCCGGGGAAGGTGCACCGGGTCGACTGTGTCCAGGGGCGGGGATGGGGCAGGGCGGTGGGCGGGGCCGGGCAGGTGGGCAGGGATGCGGCAAGCAGGTGGGCGGGGCCTGGGCTGGTGTGCGGGCCCGGGGGTTGTGGGGGGTTGCGGAGGCCGGGCAGGTGGGCGGGGATGAGGCAGGCAGGTGGGTGGGGCCGGATCTGTCCAGGGGCGGGGATGGGGCAGGACGGTGGGCGGGGCCGGAGGGGTTTGCCTACGGGCCTTCCGGGAGGAGGGGCTGGGAAGAGTGGGCGGAGGCGTGGGTGAGCCTTTCCTGGAGGTGAGCGCCGGGCCGCGGACGAGGACCCTGGGCAGGGGACGGGGCGGGGACCGGGCTGCTGGCGGGCTCGGGCGTCACCCCTACCTGGGGGCGTCCCGGGCCGCTTCGGGCTGTCCTCCCCGGACCCGCGGTGGCCGGCGGGCGGCCCACCGCGAAGCCCCGGCTCTGACGAGGTCCCTTGCACCCCACCTTTGGAAAGCTGTCAGACTTTGTCACTTTTGCTTTCGTCCCCACCCCCCAGGGGGCAGGTGGCTTCACTGTCTTGGAAAAGGGAGACAGCCACGGCCGCGGGGCCGTGGAAATCTCAGAACGCTGCCCAGCTGCCAGACCACAGGCCTGAGCCCCGCCCACCCACAGCACCGGGAAAACAGCCTCCACGGTCAATATATATTTTTTTAAAGATTTTATTTATTTATTTGAGAGAGAGAGAGAATGAGAGAGAGCACATGAGACGGGGGAGGGTCAGAGGGAGAAGAAGACTCCCTGACTAGCAGGGAGCCCGATGCGGGACTCGATCCAGGGACTCGATCCAGGCACTCCAGGATCATGACCTGAGCCGAAGGCAGTCGCTTAACCAACTGAGCCACCCAGGTGCCCTCTCCACGGTCAATATTGTTGGCCTTTACGTAATAAACAATCTGCCGATGAAGACAGGGGAAACCACGGCTGGAATGACATCCTCCCAGGCCTGAGGTGGGTTCGGTTGATTTTCTTAGGGGGAGGGGTGCGTTGTCCCAGGAAGCCTACCCGCAGAGACCATGTTGGGTGGGAATCGGTGACAGGAGCTTTCTCCTCCCTGTGGGTTAGCTATGAAGTCACTTAGTGTTTGAACACTCCTGTCCTTCATAGTGACCCACAAACAAGCAGCTTAATTAACCTGAGCATCCTTAGGTAGTGTCGCTATCAATATGATGCCCTGTTCTGACGTCAGGTACATCTGGGATGCCATCCTCTTGCTCAGTGACTGGAAGAGAGCCCTGGGGACGCTGATGCTGGGGGTGGCCGGCCTGGGGAGCGTGGCTGAATCACTTTTCCCTGCGTTTACTCACCCTGGGTGAGCGTTGAGAAATCTGTCCAGAACCCCTGGATCCCTGACTTGCTTCACCCTTGTTCTCGTGGGTAGAAGACAGTGGCCAGCAACTTCCCGGTATGCCGGGCACAGCCAGTTGCAGGGGACATGGTGGGGCAGGGCCCTGGTAGAAGGTCTGTGGTGCTAGACACTAATCCCTTAATTGTGGGATTGCGGGCAGGTTCCGTGGGGTTCCAGAGGAAGGGCCCAGGCCAAAACTAATTACTAAGCTTCACTGTAAAAATTGTAAATATCACCTCAGCCTCTGTGGCACTCCCAGCCTAAGTGCTGTCACGTGATCATCCTGAGCATGTCAGCTCTAAGCAGAGCAGGGAGTGCTTAGATTCCATTGTCTGAATACAAAGCTGACCCTGCCAGGTTTTTTGGTTTTGTTTTCTTGGAAGAAAGACTTCTCAGGAAGTTGTGTCCAGCATCACAGAGCCTTCTTTGTTGGTTTGAGAGCACTGGGAAGTTCAGCTTTGCTGAGTGTTGAAAGCAGAATAGGCCTGCTTGTTTGTTTCTGCACGCTCACAGACTCAGCAGAAAGTCCTGCGATGTGCAGTTCCTGGGTCCGGATGTGTGTGACTGAGTCCACCCCACCCAGAATGAAGCCCAGCCTCTGGGCAGCCAGCCCAGGGCGGATTCCACCCTCTGGACCTCCCTTGGTCCGGGATGCTGGGCACAGTGCAGGAGGACGTGCTTCCAGCAGGAACGTATTCGCCAGCCCCCCTGCCCCAGCTCCCAGTACCTGCAGAGCCACCAGTGAAATCTTCCGTCCTCTGTACCTGGCAGGGGAGACGCAGGACCCCTCCTCCTGGCCTGACTCCCTCCTCACCCTCCCTTCTCAAGTGTTGTGTAATCTCTCCTCACATTTCCATTCACTGTCGGTTTTCCTTCCCTTTGCCTCCCCCACAATTGCCTCAGTTTACATCACAATCCCGATGATTTTTGCAGCTCTGTGAGCGCAGACTGTTAATATTTCAGGGGATGCAGGGTGGGGCTTCCCAGCTTTCTGCTCTGGTTGCCGCCCTTGCTGCTTCCCCCGGCCCCCCGTCCTGGCAATTTGCTTGGCCATCAGCCTGCGGGCTTCAGCTGAGTTGCATTCAGGGAGGCTGTCAGAGCCTCTCATGAATTTTCTGCAGACAGGTAGAGATATTCAGCTCCTTGGTGAGTTCTCGAGGAGTTGAAAGGTGTCGTGCCTTCAGTTATTGTTCTTTAATAATCACCCAAATGGAATTACTTTCTTCAATCAGATGTTTTAAGACTGTGCTAAGGAATGTATAATGAACAGACCCAAGAGAAGCCATTCTGTTGGGTTTTCAACATACTGTTTTCAGAATAGTAGCGCCTCTGGATGCCGCAGTGGTTTGGGGGGACCACCACCTGAAGATATTAAACGCAGTCAGGCGAGATTTTACATAATTTCCCATGAGTGCAGAAAAGGGAAGCATCAGATCGCCCCGGCATAGGGAGAAACTCCGTTTCCTCCGCAGTGTTCCCCTTCAGTGGTTCCTAACGGGAGTGCGTTTCCCGCGAGGTGCACTTGGATAAATGATGTCTGTGTACTTAAGCAAGAAATATTAGCAGGTTACGCGTGTGTCAGTAACCGGTTTCTCTGGGTCGGGCACTGGAGTGTCCCTGGGGAAGTAGAAACTGTTTCTGTGGCTAGTGTAGAGATGATCGCACTGGTGCTCAGAGAGGCTAGGCACTTGCTCGAGGTCACACATCCATTAAACTGGGAGCCAGGACTTGAATCCAGCTGCAAACTTAGTCCTCATTCTGATTCCCCCGCCCATTAAAACAGATGCAGGGCTCCGAGCGCGCGTGGGCGGGGGGGATAATCCCTTCTGAGCCCCGTGCGCTCGGGAAGAAGACGACCCGGTCCTGGGCAAGCCCCGCTGCCGGTGCGCCCCCGTTCCCCATGCGCCCGCGGATTCCGCCCTCTGCCGCCCCCTGCCCGTCGGCTGGGGGAGTGCCCCGTGCACCTCTGTCCGAGGTGCAGGTAAACCCGCGTGGCCTGTCCAGCCCCCTCCTCAGAGGGTTCAACTGATTTCCGTTAGCAACCATCTGATGCTACACCCTCCAGGGCTGAGAAGAGTTGGGGTGAATGTAGTAACGTGGCCCCTTCTCAGAAGTGATCGGGCAGCATCTGGTCAGCAGTGAGCAGTGACCGAGGACAGGTCACTATTCTTGCCACTCAGGCTGTGGTCGGTGAACCCTCCGGGTCAGGATCACCGGGAGGCTTGCTCCGGAGGCAGAGTCTCAGCTCCCAGCCCAGCCTGCTGGCGAAATCTGCTTTTCAGCAACATTTCCCAGTGATTCCTGTGCAGAGCGCCCTCTCTGTTACCTGTTACACCTGTTTCCGGGTGTATTCCATCTGGGGTTTTTTGGAAGATCAGAATGAGGACTAAGTTTGTAGCTGGACATAAGCCCTAGCCCCCAGTTTAATGGACATGTGACCTCTAGCAAGCACCTAGCCTCTCTGAGCACCAGTGTGATTACCTCTGCAGCGATGCAAAGTGCCAGACAGTTCTCCAACTGGCAAGACCCCTCGTCCTCCATCTGCACCCTCAGGATTTCCTAGTCAGTGTCCCCTCAGTCAGCCCTAATTTACCTAGCCGGACTGCTTAGAAACGTCACACTCTGATGGCGACCTTAGCCATCTGCCCAGAAACCTGCAAGTCCTGTGCTCACTGTGGGGCAGTGAGCGTTGTCCACAACCCATGCTTGGTTGAGCCTCAGTCGCCAAATGCCCACTGTGAGGTTGTGGAAGGGACTTTCAGGTCCCACGGAGACCCTTCCTCAGCACCACAGTGATTTGGTAAAGAATGCATTTGATTGTGAAAGGGTAGAGTTTCCCTCTTGGAGTCACGGGGAGGCGAGTTGCCCTCCTGACTGGCTCCGACGCATACCTTCTGAACCAGGGGCTGAGCCTGAGATTTCCAAGAACGCTTTAGCTCTGAGGTTCCATGTGCCTTGACTCACAAAATGGTTTTGGTCTTTTCCAATTAAAATTCTGCTCCGTAAGAGACACACCTATAGTTTCAAAATCTTCTACAAGGACAATTGCGGCATGGCATAGGAAAACAGGTGCATGGGGGCACCTGGGTGGCTCAGTTGGTTAAGCATCCAGCTCTTGGTTTCCGCTCAGGTCATGATCTCGGGGTTGTGAGATTGAGCCCCATGTCAGACTCTGCACTCATCAGGGAGTCTACTCAGGATTCTCTCTCTCCCTCTCCCTCTGCCCCTCCTCACTGCTCATGCTCTCTGTCTCTCTAAATAAATAAATAAATAAATAAAATCTTCAAAAAAGAAAAGAAAAACACGTGCTTAACGTTTTCTGTTTCTCCCTTTTAATTAGCTTTTCTCCTTCAGGAAAACCAAAGCCCTTTCTCCTGATTCACCAAATTAACACTGACCACCCGCGTCACTGATGAAGTTCCTATGGTCTCGGGAACAGAGTTGTAGAACAGTTGGGGGACCTGGGCCCCTAGAATGGGGAGGATGTGTCAGGAGCTCCCTGTGTTAGGCCTGGGAGGTGAGTACTCCTAATGAAAATAAATCTTCAGAGTATTAGTGGGGAATATTACTGGGGTGTTTAAGCCATGCTACTTCAGGGATATGGCATGAATAAAAACCAGGCCCCTGCCCTCAAGAATTGTGCAGCTTCTGAGCAGAGCTGTGCTCTCTGGCTCCCTTGGGTAGCTGGGTGAGGGGTGTGTGTATCAGTGGGGGACCAGCGGGGAAGTCCCTGGGTTGCCCGGGCAAGGGGGCGGCACGGCTGTGACCGGAAGGGAGGGGAGTCGATGCTGGTGGTGTCCTGGGGTGAACCTCACAGGATTGGCCACCAGCTGCACCGAGGTCACACCGGAAGCTTCTCCCAGTTTGACCTCGCCTACCTCGCTAGGTTTGAAGACTATGTACGCTGAAAACAGAAATACTCGACACAGGGTTGAGCCAGTTCGAAGGGCTCAGAATTTGGAGGGAGCGCCACCGATGCCCAGAAGGATATTTCCAGCTGCGTCCAGACAAGCAAAAAGAAGAAGGGACAGGCTCACTCTCAGACGCTGGTGGTATAATGCTTACAGGTAAGTGTTCCCTGCCAGGAGGGATGTGCCCGTGTGCCCGGGACCCAGCTCCTGCCCATACCAGGCCCTTCAGGGACTCAGAGAATGCAGACCAGCCCCCAGCACTCTGGGGACCACAGAGCAGGAGAGACGGCCCAGAGGCACGACGTGGCAAATTCACTCAGGGGACACCTGCCCACGTGGTATGTCCTGGCTGCTGGTGGCATGGCAGAGAACCAAAGAGATAACACCTGTCCTCGGGAGCGGAATTCTGATTTACAGAAAGGTGGCTTTTAGAAGGACGTGGCTCTCAAGACAGCGTGGCCTCCCTGGTGCCCCCTGGCAGGCCTGTGTCCGTGGGATGCCCTGTTCTGCTCATAAACACATGTGTCCTTTGACTCCACCCAGTGTCCTGGCCTCAAGCCTTCGCGCAAGGCAGACCCAGCCCTCCACACCTGCCTTCGGATTCAGTTCGGAATTTTCATTGCCACATGAACTCTGGAGAAACTCTCCCAGTCCCCATTTGTAAATGAAGTCAGTGTTTTTCTCAGCGAGTCCTCCGCAGCTGCCCACAGTGGGCCACCCCCACCAGGGAACCACCCAGCTCAGACTCAGGTGCCGCCCGGGGCCCAGGACCAGTATTGTCTGTGAAGGATCGAGGGGCCCCCCGGCCGGGCTAAGTATAGAGATGCGCCCAGAGCTCACCCAAGCTTAGGCCAGCCAGTCTGCAGTCCTGGCCGTTAGCTCAAGAAAGGCACCTGCTCCGCTAACAGCTGGGATCAAAGCTAAGTGAATTCGACTCAGACGGGAGAGTGGCTGACCCTTTTCCCTCTGGTCTCGTTATCATAATTAACAGCGCTTGGCAGGAGGGGGAGTCACGCTGCCTGTGCCGCTCCCGCCGCCCTCAGAGCCCAGACACCAGCTGGCTCACACACGTGGAATCACACCGCCTTTGGCCTCTGGGACTGGCTTATGTCACTGGGCACGATGTCCTCGAGGTTCGCTAGTCACACCAGCCATTGGAGTCTCCTCCGTGCGAAGGCTGACTCGTACATTGTGTGTGCGACGCCGTTTGTCAACCTACTTGCGTGTCGGTGGACGCTGGCTTGCTTCCTTCGGTGGTCGTGCACATGATGCTCTTTCTGCATTCTGTCCCCTTGGGCACGGACCCACAGTGGGATGGTGTCCCGAGGCGGGCGAGTCGGCATGGCAGCTGTGAGGCTGGCATGTCCGGCATTCTGTGCTTGCAATCGCCTGGAGCAATTTAGCCACTCGCGATGCCCCGCTGTCCCCAGACCCACTAAACCATCTCTCCAAGGGGACCCAGGTCCCTGTACTGTTTTCATGTCCGTGGCGATTCCGAAGGACGGCCGAGTTCAAGAACCATTCGTCTACACCAGGGAGTCTCCGGTTTGCGTGTGCAGAAAGTTCACACACTTGTTGAGAGTCCAGAGGCCCGTTGTAAGGCCGTGTCCTGTCCCTGGTCTGTGGGAGGCCTGGACTTCCTTGCTCCCAGGCCCCCCGGCGACTGACCTGCAGCCCCGGTGAGACCTTCTCTGCTCGTCTGTCCTTCATCAAAGCATGAGTGCGCCAGGGCTGGGGAGTGGATCCACCCAGGTCCCTGAGCCTCTGGGACCCGAGTCCACGCTGGCCCCAGCAGGTCCCAAGCCCGTCCTGCAGGCTCTCCAGGCTCTGCCAGAGGCTCTCAGACAGAACAGCAGCTCCATCCTCCAAACTGGCACCGTTAGCCTTGAACTGAAGCATAGATGCTCTAACACGTGCTTTGAGTAACATGCTTATTTAATCCACATGCTAGGAAATGTGAATTTCATGTGGGCTTGTGGGCATTTTCTTAGGTTTAAATGAAGAAAACTGGGCCCAGCTGAGCCACCTCATATGTGAATAAACACAACACACTTGAGAACCTGTCGGGGACCTCGGTTCCCCATCCACATCTGCTGTTACTGCTGTCCACCTGCTCCCAGGGATCCCTGCATCCCTCGCCTTGTGCAGCTCAGTGCAAGCCTGGGACTTGGGCTTGAGTGACCCTCAAGGTGAAAGCGGTCTCCTGCACCGTGTCTTTCATAACCATGTAACATCTATACGACTGCGCTACCTTCTCTCTATCAGGTTTTTTGGTGCCACCAGGGAAGATTCTGAGTGTTGGACACTAGCCTCCTTTCCTCAGAAGCCCCATTTTTGTCGTGTGAATTTGCGTAGCACGGGATTTGGAGGAAGGAACACGTATGTCACCTGATGCACTCACAGTTAGCAGGGTAAGCTGTTGTCCATCATCTGCTCAGTAACGATTCAGGATCGCGTGTCCACTCCCTGCACCACTAGGTGGCCGCTCTCTGCAGCAGAACTTGGGGAGACGTGAGCGCGTCCTCCGAGCCTTGCTCCACATGCATGCACCCCTCCCGCTCCCTCTGCTTCACCCCACGTGGGGGCCCTTGGTCTTCTCTCTTGGACTCCCCAAAGTCCATGCCCGCTCCCACCTGCTCCTGGTGCCGCCCACCGCCCGTGTCTCTCGTGGAGGTCTGACAGGGTCCGGAGCAACTTCACAGCCTGGTTCTCATCGTTAGATTCGACACGCCCTACAACAGGACTTGTTCATATTTACTTCAACCCACGTGGGCTTCTGGCTCCCATTCTAAGACCCTGTGCTTGGGTGGTCACGCCTCCTGTCACCTGTCCGCTCACTTGTCCTGGAACTTGACCCCCCCGAGGCCCCCTTCAGAGGTAGAAATGTAGTGTTTCACACCTTTCTATTTCATACGAAAATCGGCCTGCATTGTATCTTTGTGATACAACCAACATAAGCCCAAATAATTTTCTTTAAAATCTGGCCTTACCCACCTCACTGTACACGGGCTTGACAGTTCAGCATCTTAGAGCATGTTGTCTGGGGCTCCCGTGTATCACTCATTACTGCCACGAATTCAGGGCTGAGCCCCCTAGCCCAGGGTATGCATTTGGGGGTCAGCAAGGAGTCGTCTGTGAAAAGGCAAAAGCGAAACTAGGAAGTTCGACTGTTATTCTGAGCTGGTGTTCCTGCTTGTGTGTCTCTGCAGGGATTTTTCTGTCTGGTTATGTAAGATGAGAATTCGTTCTGATGTTCGAACAACTTGGGGCCGAGTGAGTTCTTCCTGCAAATACTGGCAGCTCAGTATCAGGATATGTTTATCTTACACTCACTTAAAATCCTCATTTGTGAAATCAAAGTTTCTATTCTGTTCTAGAACAAAGGTTGGCAAACTGTGGTATTTGGACTGCAAAGCTTGGAATGTTTACCACTGGGCCCTTTGTAGAATGTGCTGGTTGTTCCTCGTGAGTGATGGGTTGGAAGGAGCAGCCGTCGGGAGGTCCATGAACCCTGGAATCTGGGTCCTGATGCGCGTGTGCATCTTTGGAGGTCAAGGAATCAGAGCTATTGGAGTCTCTAAGTATTTAAGAACTACTGTAGAGTGTGGTCCCTGCACATTGCTTTAGGGCCCCGTTCCCACTGTGAGACAGGAAGGCGGCTGGGGAGACAGAGTGTGGTCTTCCCCAACCACACGTCTCCCACATCCTCAGTGCTCTTCCTGCCCCCTTCAGAGCACCTTTGAGAATCTGTGTGTGTCTCCAGGAAGATCTCCCTCCCGAGAACCACGCCTCCCACCACGTGGCCCAGTGCAGGCCACCAGAGCTGCCCCAGATTCTGGAACTACAGCCCGGGATGCGTGCCGGGAGTTTGGAGCCTGATGCAGGGTCGCCACGGGAACCCGTGATCTCTCGTCCCGTCTCCGTGAAGGTGCCAGGCTGCCCTTCCCAGGCTGGTTCGCTTAGGAATCGGGATGGCAGGGATGGTGTTGTCCCAGAGCCCGTGCCCTCTTGGGGGGCTGGGGCTGGCCTCTGGGGCTGCCGAGGGGCCATAATGCCACATCTGCCCGTTTCTGCTTTCTTTCTGACTAGTCTTCACTTTATCTACTGAGATCACTCTGAACTTGAATCACACTTCCTGGAACACAGGTGTGTCTTCTGTAAATACAAGGTCATTGGCTCCAAGGCCCACCTGAATCCAAAAGAAATTCACTGAGGAAGAAAGCAGCAGTTTTACTTTTGTGACTCAGTCTGATCATCTGTGCGAGGGACAACCACATGCTATGTGGGTGGAAATAGTAAGTAAGAATATCTGGCTTTAATCATCGCAGCGCCTACAGTGAACGTGGGAAGAAGGGACTAGAAGCTTTACCTCAGGACTGCAGTGCTTAGGAAAGCAGCTTTTTACCACAAATGTTTAAATGACCAGACTTTTCCATTCTGAAATGGAATCACACATCTAATCTAATCTACCCATACACACAATTTTAAAGAAATCAATGTAATGCCCTAACAGGAATATCCAAAAGAAATTAAAGGGAAAGTCATTTATGACGAATTAAATGAGCCCCACACTAGGAGGCAAAATGAGTGATTTGGACTCTCACACATATAAAGAATAAGTTCAGGGTGCCTGGGTGGCTCAGTCGTTAAGCGTCTGCCTTCGGCTCAGGTCATGATCCCAGGGTCCTGGGATCGAGTCCCGCATCGGGCTCCCTGCTCTGTGGGGAGCCTGCTTCTCCCTCTCCTACTCCCCCCGCTAAAATATTAAATAAAAAGAATAAGTTTGGATTTAAGAGACGTAGGAAAATATTTAATGGACATTTCTTAAACTTTTTAAAAACTACATTTGACATTTAGAAATGAGGGCCGAATAAACTGGCTTACACGCATGCATGCACATGCATGCACACACACATGCACACTGGCGTGGGGCACCATGAAGGGATTTTCTGAAATGGTGAATAACTCCTCGTCAAGCTCCAGACGGAGCAAGGTACGATCTTCCCTAGATTTACAAGGTGGTCATGTGCCCGGAAAACTCAGTATATAGTAAAACAGTGCAAGAAATACGTTGTTGGCCCCGAGAAGAGAGTCAGGCTCTGAGGTAGTTTTGAGCACGGTTTTAGCTTCCAGGGCCGCCTGGTGGGACATCCTCCAGCCGCGGGCGCCCAGCGAGCCTCCCCACTCCCTGGGAGGCTCCCGTCACCTCTCCACGACCAAAACACCCCCAAACCTCCCGCACGCTCACAGGATGCTCCAGCAGAGGCAGCATCCCCGTCAGGAGCCCCTGTGCTACACGGGACGTTTTGTGGATAAAATGCAGTTTCCTTCTTGCCAGAGACAGTTCCTCCAGCAGATCGAATGCCCTGACATTTCACCAGCGGGGTGACTTACTCCACCTTGTCTTTCCTTTCTGGCGGCACGCATCCTTCCCCACGCCTGCTGTGCTGATGGCGAAGGTAGCCGAGTCAGGGAGACAGACCACAGACAAGGAAACCAGAGGTCGCCCCGCCAGGGAGACAGACCACAGACAAGGAAACCAGAGGTCGCCCCGCCAGGGAGACAGACCGCAGACAAGGAAACCAGAGGTCGCCCCGCCAGGGAGACAGACCGCAGACAAGGAAACCAGAGGTCGCCCCGCCAGGGAGACAGACCGCAGACAAGGAAACCAGAGGTCGCCCCGCCAGGGAGACAGACCGCAGACAAGGAAACCAGAGGTCGCCCCGCCAGGGAGACAGACCGCAGACAAGGAAACCAGAGGTCGCCCCGCCAGGGAGACAGACCACAGACAAGGAAACCAGAGGTCGCCCCGCCAGGGAGACAGACCACAGACAAGGAAACCAGAGGTCGCCCCGCCAGGGAGACAGACCACAGACAAGGAAACCAGAGGTCGCCCTGCCAGGGAGACAGACCACAGACAAGGAAACCAGAGGTCGCACAAGGTGATGAAGGGCTTGGGAAATACGTCAGGGGACGGGGAGTTATCGCGAGGAGCGAGTGTGGGGGAAGGCTCTTGAGGAAGTGTCCACGCGAGATCCAGCCATGTGAGCAGCAAACAGGAGGCAGCATGTGCCAAGGCCCTGAGGTTGGACAGAGTTTGGGGTGGCAGACGGGAGCCCCATGTGGTGGAACTGACACCGGGCCTCTCCGTTTCCTGTTCTTCCCTCGGGTCTCTGCTCAAATAAAGTATCATCGGGGAGGGCTTTCCCGGCCACTCTACAAATAGCCTCCGGCCCCCGCCCTGGCGGTCCCAGGCTCCATGTTGCCGGTTTACGTTCCTTCTTCTGTTGGGTGTCACCCCTTCGCCGCTTGCCTGCACTAGAACATAGGCCCCCGAGGACGAGCGTGGCCTGTTTGTTCACCCCCTCCTGGGCCCCAAACAGCGCCCAGCACGTGGCGGACGTGCAGCTCACGCTTGTCCAGATGATGCTGGGGAGACAGGTGGAGCCAGACCACGGAAGTGAGAAGGAGGGGAGCCACCTGGGGAATGCAAGGAGAGACCAGAAGTGAGTGGGGCCAGGGGGGTCTCCAGGCCACGGACAGGGTGAGTGGCCCACAAGAGGTACAGGGCCTCTGCTGCTGCCACCCCTGCCTCGGCCTCGGGTGCAAATGGTGGAGAAATGAGTAGCCCTGATCAACAGTCTCGCCGAGTTCTTCCCCATGATTAGTAAATGCACGGTTCAAATGCTTGGGGTCAACTCCGGGTGCACGCCTACTTCTGATTTGCTGTAATTTGTGTGTCTCAGCCTCAGGGTTTCCATGGAAACCCCACCACAAATCAGCCCCAAGGCGGAACGAAGCCTCTGCAGAGCCGTGGGCCAGCCCCAGGGGAAGCTGTCTCCGTGGCTGCGGGTTAAGGCTCTGTGCAGACCCACACCTGCTTCCTGTTACCCCCTTCCTTCGCCCCATTCTCCATCCTCTGAGCCACGGGGTCCTTCCTTTCCTCTGGAGGTTCCACTCAGAGCAGGCTGAATGCGCCTCTGGCATGGGAGACCAGACGCCTCACCACCCAGCGCAGCGCTGGGGACACAAGCCAGACACAGGTAAGGACGCCCTGTACTGACGCCCGTTCACGCCATCACACAGGCTGTTCTAGACCCGCCATGTCCGACGCTTCATGGAGAGTGACGAAAAGGGCGAGCATTTTGTGTGATGAGATGTGCTGTGTGTGATGCGACGTGCCATGCGTGATCCCATGTGCCGTGTGATCCATGTGCTGTGTGTGATCCCATGTGTTGTGTGTAATACATGTGCCGTGTGTGATCCCATGTGCTGTGCGTGGTCCCATGTGTTGTTTGATCCCATGTGCCACGCGTGATACGATGTGCCGTGTGAGATACATGTGCTGTGTGTGATGCGACGTGCCTGTGTGATCCCATGTGCCGTGCGTGATCCATGTGCTGTGTGTGATCCCATTTGCCATGTGTGATATGACATGCCATGTGTGATCCCATGTGCCGTGTGTGTGGAGTGAGGGCAGAGGGGTAGACGGGCTTGTGCCCTGGCCAGGGCAGCTGGGGAGCAGCTGCGGAGCCGACAGCAGGTGAAGAGGGGTCCCTGGCAGGGGCAGGGGAGGGGGAACACAAATGTGTCTCTACCTGCTGTTTTCTTCAGCTTTCTCTGCAAACCTTGAATAAGTGATTGCATGAACTAATGAATGAGAAACAGACTGGTATAAAGATCAAGTACCTCTGAGGTACTTAGAACAGCGCTTACTACACAGTGTAAGTCAGAGCGAGAAGCGCTACCTACACCGACACGTCAGCCATGGCCACGGCCATGGGATCTGGCGGGGGCAGGTGCATCATGGGGGAGCCTCCGAGTCCTAGGGGCCCTGGTGCGATGCCTTGAGCTGGGACAGCTGTGTTTTCATCCTCCCTCCTTCCCCGCAGGATCATGGGAGGCCACCTGGGCTTTCTGTTTGGGGTGATGCTTGCAGCCGGCCCTGTGCTTGCAATTCCTTCCTGCGCCTCTGACCGTCAGAGGGCCTTGTATCGCTCCTGCAACCTCACCCAGGTGCCCCCGGTCCCCAGCACCACCCAGACCCTCCTGCTGAGCTTCAACTACATCTGGACTGTCACAACCACATCCTTCCCTTCCTGGAGCGGCTGCAGCTGCTGGAGCTTGGGACTCAGTTTACCCCCTTCACCATTGGCAGAGAACCTTTCAGAAACCTGCCCAACCTGAGGGTCTTGGACCTGGGCAAGAGTCAGGTAGATTTCCTGCATCCCCATGCTTTTCAGGGGCTGCCCCACCTGCTTGAACTTAGACTCTTCCACTGTGGTCTGCCTGATAATATATTAAAAGATGGTTATTTCAGAAACTTAGAGTCTTTGTCTCACCTGGACCGGTCCAAGAATCAGATTCATGGCCTTAACCTTCATCCTTCATTCTGGGAATTGAATTCCCTGAAGTCCACTGATTTTTCCCTCAACCAGATCCCCACTGTGTGTTCACATGAGCTCCAGCCGCTGCAAGGGAAACCGCTCCCCTGTTAAACCTCACTGCCAGTCATCCATACAGCAGGGTCTCCGTGGACTGGGGCGCATGCATGAACCCGCTCACAAACACGGCCCTAGAAACCCTGGACGTTTCTGACAACGGCTGGACAGTGGACGTCATGGGAGCCAGATCTCCCTGGTTCTGGCCCACCACATTATGGGGTCCGGGTTTGGCTTCCCGAACATCAGGGACCCCGACCGGGAGTGCAGCGCTGCGGCTGGATCTGTCCCATGGCTTCATCTTCTCCCTGAACTTCCGACTCTTTGAGGCCCTCAAGGACTTGAAGCTCCTGAACCTGGCCCACAACAAGATAAACAGGATTGCAAGAGAAGCATTTTATGGCCTCAACAGCCTCCAGGTTCTCAACATGTCATATAACCTCCTGGGGGAGCTTTATAATTCTGATTTTTATGGACTCCCTCAGGTAGCCTATATTGATCTTCAAAACAATCACATTGGGATCATTCAGGACCAGACCTTCAGATTCCTGAAAACATTATGTACCTTGGATCTCCGGGACAATGCTCTTAAAACAATTCCTTTTCTGCCAAGCCTAGACACTATATTCTTGGGTAGCAATAAACTGGCAGCCTTGCCGAGCATTAGACTTAAAGCCAAGTTCATCCACTTGTCAGAGAACAGGCTAGAAGATCTGGATGATCTCTATTTCCTCCTTCGCATCCCTGACCTCTACGTCCTCATTCTGAATCAAAACCGCTTTTCCTCTTGTAGCCGAGCTCATGGCCCAACAGGGAGCCTCAGCTTAGAAAAGCTTCTCCTTGGAGCAAACATGTTGCAGCTTGCCTGGGAAACCAGCTTCTGCTGGGATGTGTTCAAGGGGCTCTCGCGGCTCCAGATCCTGTATCTGAACAACTACTTGGCCTTTCTCCCGCCCGGGGCACTTCGTGACCTGACTGCGCTGAGGGGCCTCGACCTCAACTCCAACAGGCTGATTCAGGCTCTTGCTCCTGGCGATTTGCCTGCTAACCTGGAGGTGCTGGACATGTCCAGAGACCAGCTCCTGTCCCTGGACCCCAACTTGCTGGCGTCCCTCAGAGCTGTGGACATAACGCACAACAAGTTCATCTGTGAGTGTGACCTCCATCCTCTCATTACTTGGCTCAACCAGACCAAAGTCACTGTATTTGGGTCTCGTGCAGATATCTACTACACGTACCCCAACGCGCTCGCAGGGACACCTCTCTCCTCTGTTTCCATGGAGGGCTGCGATGAAGAAGAGGTCTTGAAGGCCCTAAAGTTGTCCCTTTTCGTCTTCTGCACGGTCACTCTGACTCTGTTCCTCATGACCATGCTCGTGGTCACCAAGCTCCAGGGGCTTTGTTTCATGTGTTACAGGGCTGCCCAGAGACTGCTGCCCACGGTCCATGCTGAGTGCCGCGAGTCCAACACGTACAAATACGAGGCCTACCTCTGCTTCAGCAGCAGAGACTTTGAGTGGGTGCAGAGGGCTCTGCTCAGACACCTGGATGCTCAGGTTCAACCTGTGCTTTGAAGACAGAGACTTTGTCCCAGGGTGGGAGCACATCGCCAACATCAAGGACACCGTGTGGGGCAGTAGGAAGGTGGTCTGCCTCGTGAGCAGACACTTCCTCCAAGACGGGTGGTGCCTGGAAGCCTTCATTTACGCCCAGAGCAGGTGCGTGTCTGACCTGGACAGCGCCCTCATCCTGGTGATCGTCGGGTCCCTGTCCCAGTACCAGCTGATGAAGCATCAGTGCATCAGAGGGTTCGTGTGGAAACGGCAGTACTTGAGGTGGCCCGAGGATCTCCAGGACGTTGGCTGGTTCCTTCACACACTCAGCACATTCTGAAGAAAGAGAAGGACGCCAACACAGACAGTAGCATCCAGCTGCAAACTGTGGCGACAGTCTCCTAGTCAAGGAGCATTTCCAGCTAATCCCAAGCCACAGATAACTCTTACCATTTCAGGGGCCTGTTTTGGAGAGGTTTTGTTTTTTTCCTACTAGGAAAACAACATCGCTCTTGATTCCCATAGCCACAGGATGCCTGGTCTCACTGACCCGGAAATGGAAAGGAATCCTGTTTTCTCCACTTGCACCGACCAGGCCATGCCCTTGTCGTGGGAAGGGCCTGGGAGAGGGGTCCCAGATGGCTGCGAGCCTTCCTCTGGTGCTTGCTCTCGGTTGGCAAGGGGCGCCCTCTGCTCCGCAGAACAACACTGACGAAGAAACACAGAAAAGAGGGCGTGTTTCCTGCTTCTGCCACAGGGATGGTGCCACTGCTCAGTGCCAGTCCCGCTCGGTCTGGGGGCAAGCCGTGGCCCCACAGAAGCGGGCAGGACAGTACCTGGATCTCGTTGCAGCCGTAGCACTATCCCTGTTTCTTGTTAGCTCTTCTCCTTCGCACATGGCCTGAGTTCCCCTCCATTCTCTCCCACACCCCGCTCATCAGCTGCACACAGAGAGCCTGGTTCCAGGCCTCATTCTGCTGCTCGGGGGTGGCTGTGTGACTGTGAGTACGTGACACACCCTCTCTGGGCCTGATTTCTCATCTGCGGGCCTGGTGCTCTCTACCAAGGACGTCAGGCTTCTCAGATCAGCCCTGCTGTGGCCCCGAGGGCGTGCGCACACGGAGGGGCCTTCGGGAGGCAGTGGGAACTTCTCTGAAGTTGTATTTTTTTTTTTATCTTAAATCTCTACATATTTTGCATTCTGTCTTTTTGCGTGTTTTTTAATTCAGAAATGTTTTTCTGCAAAAGTACTAAGAAAATTTAAACCAAGGAAGGTGTGCCAGAATATTGCCCATGGCTTCATGCACAGCACCTCCAAACCCAGCAGACCCAGCTCGGCTGCCACATTTGAGGGGTGCCCCTAGGCCTGGGGCCCAGCGCTCCAAAATGTCCTTCCTGTCCCTGTGCCCCTGGCCCTGACTCCTCCAGAACACACATCCCCCCACTCCACCTCTTCCTTCTGGAACGTTCTCCCAGCTCTGCACATCCATCCTTTATGTTCTTCAAAGCCCAGCCCATGCAGCCTCCTGGGAGGCCTCCAACCCAGCATCCTCTCTCCCTTTTGTGCAAATTCTCGGCACCTTACCTGTTCTTCTAAAACGCACTTATGACTTCCTGTGAGAGCCGTGAGCCTGTCTGGCCCCTCACCCCTCTGGACTATAAGCTCCGTGGGCAGACCTTTCTTCAATGTCCCACCCTCACTGGCCGTCACAGACCACATATGGTTTGGGGAAGGAATTCCTTCTCTTCGTCCTCATCCCCATCTGCCTGGTGAATTTCCATTCCTGTAACCCTACAGATTTTTGTCACTGGTCTAGACTGTGAGCCCCTGATGGCAGGGACGTTGTCTTATTCATCACTGTAGCCTAAGCCCCATGCGGTGCCTGGTCCATAGTACATGCTTAATAAGGGCCTGGTGCATGGATGAGGTGTGCTGCGAAGCCCAGCATCCCTGGTGTCAGTGCCTGCTCCTTGGAGGTGCTGGATGCTGGGTGGGGAGCAGAAGGGCTGGGAGCTTGAAGCTCATTTCAAACCATGCAGCATGGCGTGGGGCTCCTGGGTGGAGGGATGGTCACAGCTTTGATGAGCAGCCAGGGGTTGGGCTAGAATGAGGGGATGGAGAGATTGGATGGAGGCTGGAGGGGTGGAGGGATGGTGTGATGGCGGAATGGGATGATGAAGGGATGCGGTGATGGAGGAATGGGGGCTGGGGGGATGGAGGAATAAGGGATGGGGGATGAAGGGGTGGGCAGATGAAGGGTGGGGGATGGAGGAGTGGGGGATGGGGGATGAGGGGGCAGGGGATGGGGGTATAAGAGGATGGGGGATGGAGGGATGGGGGAGTGGGGTATGGGGATGAAAGGGTGAGGGTATGGAGGAATGGGGGATGGGGATGAAGGGGTGGAGAATGGAGGAGTGGGGGATGGGGGATGAGAGGGTAGAGGGATGGGGTAGGGTGATGGGGGTGAAGGGGTGAGGGGATGAAGGAGTGGGGGATGGGGGATGAGAGGGTAGAGGGATGGGGTAGAGTGATGGAGGATGAAGGAGTGGGAGGATGAAGGGGTGGGGGATGGGAATGAAGGGTAGAGGGATGGGGTAGGGAGATGGGGGGATGAAGCGTTGGGGGGATGGAGGAGTGGGGGATGGGGATGAAGGGTAGAGGATGGAGTAGGGAGATGGGGGATGAAGGGGTGGGGGAATGAGGGATGGTGTGATGGAGGAATGGGATGATGGAGGGATGCGGTGATGGAGGGGTGGGGGATGGGGGGATAGGATGGGGGATGGAGGGATGGGGGATGGAGGGATGGGGGATGAAGGGTTGGAGGGATGAGGACAGGGGGATGGGGGGATGAAGGGATAAAGAAGGAAGACAGAGAGAAGCACTTCTCGTGAGTGTTATACTAGGACAACACCCCTCACACCAAGGCACTGCTGTAGGAACAGCTGTAACCAGGAATCAGGAAGACGGTAAAAGGCCACTGACTCAGGGCAAACCTTCCTGCCACATGGGGCAGCCATGCTTCTCCCCATGCTGCAGGAACCTGGTCTTGCATCAGGACCGTCAGGAAGGGTGCTCCCTTGTCCTGGCAGGGTGGGGGGCTCGGGGGGGGCAGCGTTACCCCAGGTACCCCCTTGCTTTGGGTGACTGTCCCCATGACTGTTTTCCAAGCCAAAGCCAGACCTGTGAAGGACAAGGTGAGCGTCTCTGTGGGAACAGTAGGTTGGGACATAAGGAGGGAGTCCATCCCATAACCCTTTCTTTTTTTTTTTTTTTTTAAAGATTTTTATTTATTTAACAGAGATAGAGAGCACAAGTAGGCAGAGCGGCAGACAGAGGGAGAGGGAGAAGCAGGCTCTCTACCGAGCAGGGAGCCCGATGTGGGGCTCGATCCCAGGACCCTGGGATCATGACCTGAGCCGAAGGCAGCCGCTTAACCAACTGAGCCACCCAGGCACCCCTCCCACAACCCTTTCTAATTCTCTTACTCAAAAATCCAAATAGCAGTAATTTTCCTAATCAAACACATTTAAAAAGCACCTTTTGACGTTTCTGTCATAGTTTATGGGGGGGCCTGTTCACAGCAGATGTCCCGGCCACTGTTGAACTCAACAGGCCACTCTAATTTATTCCTGAATTTCTATTTTCTGGCAAAGACCCCAAACATTCCTCAGTTCTTTTCATTTGCTTTCCCTCCCATCAGCCGACCCAATAGCTGGAATTCTGTTTCAGGCCATTTTTCCAAGTGTCGCTTCCCAAGACCTGGCAGGAGGAAAGCCTGGCCGGGTCACATTGGGACGGTGATGTGGGCGCCAGGTGGTCAGTGGAGAAGGTCCTTGCATCCCGTGTCACAGCACCACCGTCCATAGAGAGGTCCCTCGGGGTCACTCTCAAGCGGGAAGAACTATAGTCTAAGAATGGGGAGAGCTTGCTGTATGTGAGACAGACTATTCTGGAAAAATCTAGACTCTTCTTCGGGGCTGCTAGAAATGTCTAAGGGAATCTGACTCATGGCTCCAAATACACTTGACTTTGAAAGTTTCCTCTCAACCACGTGAATCTGCAGTGAAGAACGTAGTCTCTACATGACGTGAAGTAGTCGTGGCTGAACGTTTGTGATCATGAAGTAAGTCTGTTGGGAGAACGGAAGAATAGGGAGTACACATGCTCGTCTACCACAATAAAAAATCGATACAAAATATCTGGAATGTTAAATCAAGAGCCAGCATTCTGCGTGTGTATTTAGAAATAGGGAAATGCCAGAAAAAAGAACTGGACAAGTGAGTGGTGATTGTCTGCGGGATTCCTGCTGCTTCCACGGGGATACCGAGCGAAGCTGGAGACGTGAGTGCTATGGGCAGAGCTTGCAAGGAATTTGCAGGCCCCGCTTAGGCACCGTGGTCCAGGCCACCAGGACAAGGCGGCTTTATTCCTGACTTTGGGCTGGAAATCGTGTTTCTTTTCCGAGGGCAGGCACCTCGCCTCCCCAGGAAGGTCGCCTCCCTGAGACACGATAAAACTCAGTGACATCATGTCTCATCTGGGCCCTGCAGGAAGCAGGTGTTTCGTCGGAGTTTTCCCGCTGCCCTGACCTGGACTTGCCACTCGAGCAACCCTGAGGGCCTAATGCTTGAGGCTGCGTTCCTGGTTTTTCCAATGACCTTGGCCGTCCTTGCTCCCAGCTCTCTCCCCGTTGCTGCTGTGTTATGGGGCCAGCATCGTCCAGGCCTGCAGGTCGTGCCAAGCCTGGAGAGGTTTGCAAAAATAAGTCACCAGGGTTCTGTGTGCCCGGCCGTTGAAAACAAGAGGTCCTTTTTGGAGAGGGCCTGGAGGAAGACCTTCGGGCACAGGAGTCAAACAAAGGGAGGGAGGCGGGTGTGGGGCCACTGGCCCCAGATGAGTGTCGTCCGAGAATGCGGCCGCAGAGAGCACTCTGCACATGGCCCCCTAGTCAGCTGAGTGTAGTTGAACTGCTTGGAGGGCCAGGTTTGGGGTTTTTGTTGTTGATCGCCCCCCACCTCCAAATTAAAAGAAGCAAGGAGCATGGTTCTTTACAAAATAACTGCGTCGAGGCCGGGCGGAGCCCGGGGAGCACATGGGCCACCAGCTTTCTGTGGCTCCATGAGGCTGGACACCTGCCCCTGGGCTCTGGGGCAAAACCAGCCCGTTTTCTGAGACGGAAACCCATGGGTTGTTCTCTTTCTAACACAAACATGGATCCCACGTGGACACGTCAATGCGTTTGCACAAACGTCTGCACCAGTGTGATCTCCTCCTCCGTCAGGACGGGGAGTATTTCCGTCGCCTCGAGAGCGGCCTCCTGCCCCTTCCCTGCGGAACCTGCCACTGCCCCACCGCAGGCGGCCAGGGTCAGGGTTCCCACCAACACGGGGGAGCTGAGCCTTCTAGAACTTCGTGTAAATAGGCATTCAGTTAACCCCCTGCATCTGGCTGGACACTGAGCAGTCTGCTCCTCTTCACGCATTTTATGGATTCACGAGCAGGTGTTTGTGGCTCCTCCCGCTGAGGCTCATCCTCACCCACAGAACGAACGGGGGTGCTGCACGCAGAGCTGGTGCGGCCGTTCCCTCACAGCCTCCTGTGCACCTGCTCCCATCTCTCTGGTGTAAATAACGGGGGTGAAGGGGTCGCAGAGGCACTTTCCAGAATGGCTGTGACAGCTTTCACGGCTGCCAGGACGTGAGGCTCTGCGGGCCCTGCAGCCCCCAGCCCATGGCGGGCACCCTCCCACCTGCATTTTCCTGCCGACCCTTGTGGGAGCACCAGGGCAGTCAGGAGCCGGGTGGCCGAGGGTGAAGGCCCAAAAGGCTGCTGGGGGCCACTCTGCGAGGCACCTGGGCCGCATCTGCCGCCCGCCTGCACCCGCCGCGTCTTGGCTCCTTGCGGTGGCCCCAAGAGCGGGCGGCAGGCGGGCACACTCCCAGGCCTGGCCCCAAACACCTTCCACACGTTCACAGGAGGAAATGCAGGCCCATGAGGGATGAGCAACCTGCTCAGCTAGTAAGTCGTCCACCCTGGGGTTCTTCGGACTCTGCTTCTCCGTAGCCACTGAAAGTCCCCGTTCTCCCCCCAGTGCGGCAGCTCTCTGTGCGGGGACCTTGTTCTTGCCCCCGCCACGGAGCTGTCACCCCGTGCGGGGACAGACCCCTCCTGTCCTTTGCCAACTGGGGACACATCC